TCTCAGTTGGGCAATATATATTGTCGACCAAGTTAGTGCAAGGAAGTAAGTTAAGTTAGTTAAAGTGCAAGTAAAAGTGAAGTTAAACTGAGTGATTGTGAGTTTAGCCATAAAGAGCGTATAGTGGCGCTTTCTAAAGTGAAAGTATCACAACTTGTATTGTGATAACATAGATATAGAATAATAATTTCTCTTTTCAAAGAGTATTTTAAGGTAATTGACTTTGACAAAAAAGAGACACTTATTTAAAGCTTTGGATACCACTGTGATAAACAATAGTGTAACAAACTTTTGTTCATATTTTTAACTTGTTTTGAATATGTATACAGGTGTTCACCGCTTTCATTATATCCTACAGGAGTTTTTTTTTTGCAAAATATGTGTACTACTGGTACAGTCTTCTGAATATAACTACCACTTGTACAAATCATATAGCAAATGCGACGATTTTGTATGTTGCCATAGTTATTTTATCATACGGATCAGAAATATGCACCCATAATACTGAGCATAAATAGCACCTTTTACTGGCTTCTGTAAGTCAGGATTAGATGATGAGTTCTGATATTGAACTGAAATAAAACCCTTTAGATTTGCAGCAAACAAAAATAAAAAAAAGGCTTCAAATTATGTTCTCACATTTCTATCACGAATTCTGTAGGAACGTTTAAAAAACCTGCAGTTTATGTAACTTTTAATCACCATTTTTAGGCCTAAAAAGTTCCTCCTTCATCACGTAATGCTAATACCCAATGGAAAATAACGTATTACACTATATGCTTAGCCTATTATTTGTCTTCGATTGTCAAAGAAATTGAGGTCCGTAAAAAAACATTCACACATACACATCTTTCATGTTATTATTATACAATCTATTTATAAACAACAGCTGTAGCTTTGTAGCAGCGGGACAGTCGATAAGGGATAGTTAAATTTTGTAATTATTAATATAAATAACATACGTTATTTTGCCTTTGTCAGTATTTGATCTTCTTATTCATATAAAACAATCATAAATAAAAATCGTATAACTAACTTATTTTGAAATATCTTCCATTTAAAGAATAGGACAAAACCGAAGTAGGTCAATATGATATTTGTATTTATATAATGAACTCATTATATAAGTTTAAGATACGTATAAAATCGTACATTAGATACGCTACGGAGGCAGTCAAATAAAACGTTTTCAGTAGAGCTGATCATCACGGGCCGAAAGTTGCTAATGGTTGAACAGGTCAGTGCGGCTGCGCGGGTTGACGTTGGCCAATAGGACAGTGGTGCAGCTCGCTCTCGTACACGACAAAGAGGGCCGCACACGTGAATATATTTACACATTGTTTTATAATTAACCATATATAGAAAATGAAATTTTGAATTTTAGTTTACTCCATCATACAATGTATTTTTGATTAACCAGTGCCCAGACACTTCCCACGCTTTTAGCTAGAAAAGCCCTAAGTACTAAGATGATACCGAAAGTTGTATAAGCCCATGTTATTTTATTTCAGCATTGGTGTAATTACAATTACATATAATGAATCTATGTTCCTTTCACGTTACTATGAATATTAAAGTGTAAAGTGAAGCTTGCTGTAATCGTAATTGATGATAATTAAAATCTTTCTTACGAATCGTGTAGGTAGCTTAGTTATTTGCACAGGAAATATAGTCTAACATGTAATTGTTAATTTCATTGAAGTTTAATTTACTAATGCTAGATAGAGGACTGTATTGTAGTTATTGTAAAACACTTCTAGTATGAAAACTCTATGAACTTTCTTTTTGAACTGAAATCATCATATATATATATAAGTATTAATTATGCTACTTTGCATCCTTATCACATATTCAATACTTGAATGCTAGAATATATATTTTGTGTTGGTATTCTTATTCTACTTCTAGTACTTTAATCATGTAAAACAATGTACTTATTTGATATCAAATGGTTTATAGTTTTGAGGTTGAAATGAATTTTTAGTTTAGTATTTTCATAATATTTAGAATTTTTACAAACCATGAAGACATTGCTTGCAACACGAGGTTATTTAAAAGTAAATCACAATACTTAACTGTTCTGTGGTATAAACGGGAAACTTTAATAAGTATACTCAATTCAAAACTCTGGTATAATAACAGTTCTATATATTTTAACAAGCTTGGCAGCTGTCTCGTGTCAGAACTTCTTCTGAAGAGGTATTCGTTTAACACTGATACCCTTCGGTGACCACATTATTTGAGAATCACACAAGTTAATATTTCAGATAGTCATTTGCATCTGAACTTGCCAGTAGT